GTGGGATCCTGACGCCCGCGTGGGGCGAGGAGGGGGCGCGGGCCAGGGTGCCCGGGGCGTGAGCCGTCAGCACCCGGAGGTGGGCAGCTGCTCCAGGCTCCGCGCACCTCCTTGCCCAGGACCTGGGTGCAGGTGCAGGTGCAGGTGTGGGGGTGCCGGGAAGGGCTGTCAGTCCCGTCCTCTTGGAAGGCTTTCTGACTTGGGGTCCTTATACAGTGTGGCCCCTGACACGCAGAGGAAGAAGCAGTCGCATTACTTCTGAGAGCATCCGCTGTCAGCTGTGGGACACAAGTGTCCGTACCCACAGCCTGCTGGAGGCCCAGCGGTCAGGCCATGAGCAGCAGCCAGAGGTGACAGGTGCACACGCAGGTGCCGGGAGCAGTGCGAGCCTCTTCCCTGCCTCACGTGCTTGAAATGTTAGTTTTTCCTCCAAAATAGGTCTCGTGTATTCCCAGACAAGGGCACGGTTTCCTTAGCTCAGAGCTTTTTTATTCTGCATATGGTAACAAGCACACTTGTTAAGTTGCGCAGTTTACATTTAGAAGTGGTTTTTGTTTGTGTTTTTCATCCTTAGGAAACAGGCCCAGGGCACAAATAAACTCACAGACGCTTGGCATGCAGCTGCACTCTGGTGACACGTGAATTCCAGGAGAGTAATTTTATTTCATGTCTTACAAAATCATCATCATTTAGATTTCAAGCAATTTTTACGTGGATTCATATCTCATTTATGTCAACCAACAAGCATCCTGTAGTGGGGCCTGCGGCCCAGCAGCATGAGCAGCACCTGGCAGCTGGTTAGGAGCCCCCACCTAGGGAATCAGAATCTTCACTTCCGGAGTCTCTCAAGGGATTCCTAAGCAGTGAGGAAATCAGGAAATCCCACCAGGGAGGTACCTTCAGCAAAGTCCAGCAGGCATCTGTCTAGAGCTTGTTGTAACTTACGGTGCTTATCATTGATTTAGATTTTAAGATCTTGGTAATTCACAGCATTTCTAGTAGTATGGACGTTTATGAATATTCTTATATTGTAGCCATTTGCATTTTGGGGGGGTTTACTAAAACAGGAAGGAGTAGAGTTAGGTTTCTTAAAAGAATGAAAGTTCTCTTTTATATGTATTTGAGTTGTTAAAGGTAAAGATGGGTGCTTTTTAAAATTACCTTCATTTAAAAGACATAAAGAAGACTCCCAAAGGAGAAATTGAAAGATTATAACAGGGCATGTATTCCAGGTTATTTAGTTAAAAAAAAAATATTGCCAGAGGATAACTTAATTGCTTTGCAAGTATAACCAAAGTTTATAAGAAGGTGTTGACAACCATGATATTTTTTCCATTAATTACATGGTACACTAAAGATAGTTTTTGGTACTTAGAAATTAATTACATTTTCAGTTTTAGAAATAGCAAAGTAATAAGGTGATGCAGAAGGAATACTTCCCTTTTGAACTGATCTGTTGTTTTTATTTATTATTTACTTTAAAAAAATTTTTTTTTAATTCGTGAGAGACACAGAGAGGCAGAGAGAGAAGCAGGCTCCCCACGGGGAACCCCATGTGAAACTCGATCCCAGGACCCTAGAATCACGACCTGTGGCAAAGGCAGAGGCTCAACCACGGAGCCACCCAGGCGCCCCTGATCAGTTATTTATAAAGCGTAGAAGTTAGAACTTACCTACTGGATCTTCAAGGACTTGGAAAAGAGTCCATGCCCAGTAAGCACAGTTGTGTGTCAGTATTTACTGGGTAAAATTAGAGTCCCTGTATTCATTTAATTATAAGAATAGGTGAAGAGAGTGGCTTGGACTAAACTAAGCTGTAGGTTTAGCCAAGTTGCTCACAGTTACTTAAACTATCATATCTGCTCCTATTTACTTAGTAGGTTTAAATTCAGCAGAAATTAAAGTATAAGTTGATACTGCACTAAGGTATTTGGAGAATGTATAGACTTGAACCTAATTTGTGAATAGCCAAACCCCATTTCAGCACATTTCCTAAGGTTCTAGAAAGCATTTTGAGAATTTTGATGTCTATGTTAGAGCTTGGAAACATGTGTTTAAACACAAAATCTTTTTTGTTTTATGCTCCATTGTAAGAGACTTTGTCATAAAGGGACTATTTGCATGTTAAATCCTCTTATAAATTTCAAATATTGGCATTTGCTTTTTCTCATAATGAATTCATCTTTCTAATGTTTTGTCCAGTGTTTGCACGCTTTAAAAATATATTCCACACATTTTTGCATTCCTCATATCTCCTGTTTAAATGCTCTGTTAATAGGTATCTTCTTTATTTAATTTTTTCTGTTTTTTTCCCATAATCATACTGTAGATTTTTCAAATATTTATATTACTCAAATATATTTTCCAATATACATATATGTTTATATATTTGACTTCAGTGGAATTGAGTTAGGTTGAATTTCCTCAGTTTGTGTTGATAACTTTTTGTTGATCCCAAATGGTATTTTGCATTTAAAAGAACTCATTGGTGATGTTACTAACATTGCTTAAAAAACAGATCTGCTCTTTCTCTTAGGTACAGATCTTAATATTATGCACAGATTAGAAATCACTTCCGTTTACCCAGAGTCTTGATACTTCTGAGTGTATATAGATGCATGCTTACTCCCCCTCTTTGCTCAGATCTTTGCTCAAGTTCTTCCCTACTAGGAAAGGCCCATCTCCAGTACCATTCCCGTTTTACTTACACTAATGCTGTAATTAGTATCTGTCACTTTATATCACTTTTTCTTTGTAGCATTTGTCTCCACCTGATACTTTATATATACATGTTTGTTGTTTAGTTTCTGTATCCCACCTCTCCAGCATTGGATGTTTTCTTGAGTATAGAGACACTGTTTCGCTGAAATGTACATAGAAAAATTCAAGACTGGTAGTGCTGCTTCCTTAGTTGAGTCTATTTCTTTGTTAGTCATAACAGTATGGGGAGTGCTACATAGTTGTCAGTATTTTTTTTAAAGATTTTTAGTTTTTTAATTTATTCATGAGAGACACACACAGAGAGGCAGAGACACAGGCAGAGGAAGAAGCAGGCTCCATGCAGGGAGCCCGATGTGGGACTCGATCCCAGGACCCTGGGATCACAACCTGAGCCGAAGGCAGATGCTCAACCGCTAAGCCACCTGGATGCCCCAATTGTCAGAATTTTATAATGAATTTCAATCAGTGATCAAATATTTTTGCATTCTTAAAGAGGCATCTTCACTTATCTGTGTTGTAGCATCTCTTTTCTGGAAGTACATTAGACATTTGTGTCCTTCTCTTTGAATGATACACAAATTTAGGCAAATCCAGCCAAACTCAAAACTGATTTTTTTTTTCAACTAGAGAAGACATTCCAGATAATCAGCCTCAGGTAAATATAAAAACATTGAGCATATTTTCAGTTTTGCATCATAGTGTTGGTAAAGAGGGAAAAAAAAATCAGAGTATATGATCTTTTAGGCATTTCATTAAAGTTTCACCCTTCGAAGCTGACAGCTAAATTTCCACAGGGCTATGAACAACAACAACAACAATTTGTAATAGAAATACGGGATCCCTGGGTGGCGCAGCAGTTTAGCGCCTGCCTTTGGCCCAGGGCATGATCCTGGAGAACTGGGATCGAATCCCACGTCGGGCTCCCAGTGCATGGAGCCTGCTTCTCCCTCTGCCTGTGTCTCTGCCTCTCTCTCTCTCTCTCTCTCTCTCTCTCTCTCTCTCTCTCTGTGACTATCATAAATAAATAATTTTTTTTAAAAAAAGAAATAATACTAATGCATTTATTATACCTTAAGAATGAGGGATCCCTGGGTGGCGCAGCAGTTTAGCGCCTGCCTTTGGCCCAGGGCGCAATCCTGGAGACCCCGGATCGAATCCCACGGGATCGAATCCCACGTCGGGCTCCCGGTGCATGGAGCCTGCTTCTCCCTCTGCCTATGTCTCTGCCTCTCTCTTTCTCTCTCTCTCTCTCTATGACTATCATAAATAAATAAAAATTAAAAAAAAAAAGAATGATGTTGGGGTGCCTGGGTGGCTACGTCAATTAAACATCCCAGTCTTGATTTTGTCTGAGGTCATGACCTCAGGGTTATGAGATCAAGCACTGTGGCCTCTCCACTGGGTGTGGAGCCTGCTTAAGATTCTTTCAGATCAAATGATAAGATTTTAGAATTTGAGGGTCTTTCCAGTTCATGTAGTAAAGCCTCTCCACGCCCCTCCCCACCATTTTTTCCAGAAAGGAGAGAACTGAAGGCCAGAGGACATAGTTGAATCCGTTGTGGCCATTGATGCTTGTTAGAAGTAGGGCTTGAGCTAGATTTGACTTTCCTAAATTGGATTAAAAAATGGAAAATTCTTAATCAATTTTTTTATATACTAGACCAAAGAAAACATAAACCAGCAGCCAGTGTTGAGGGCATAGCAATATCTATTTCAGAACAAGAGTTTTCAACTCCCAGAGTACTAATAACAAATTGATTGCATCTCTAATTGTGCAATGGTAATGACCCCCTTCTGATTTTCTCTGGACAGGGATTAATAATACAAATTAGAATCCTGTTCACAGTGTTTCAAAAACGTCATGAATTACCTAGCAATACTTTTAATGATATATTTGGAATCGCATTTGAGAAAAGAGAAAAGAATATGAGATACATGTAGAAGAGTTGAATGGAGATATAATAATAAATATGGAATTAATAACTCTCCTTGAAATGAGAAGGTGGCTCATATGAAGATGTCAGTTTGCCCAAAATTTATTGGTAAATGGAACTTTAATGAGACCAACAGATAGTTACATAGTTGAACAGAAAGATGATGTGGAAAAAGAAGCATGACCAGGTGTGGCAGCTTACTCTTTTGGTATAAATTGAAAATTATTTGACACGGTAGAGTGTGTTCAGCGTTTGGGTTTGCAGTGACTCTGGGCACTTTGCTTAACATTCTAAGTAAGTCTCATTTCTTCAACTGCGTCATGGAAACTATTAAAACTAAACTCAGTGCTTGCTTCGGCAGCACATAGACTAACATTGGAACAATACAGAGAAGACTAGGATGGCCTCTATGCCAAGATGACTTGCAAATTCATGAAGTGTTCCATGTTTTTAAATCTTCAAACAAATAAACAAACTAATCCATAAACTTCACCATAAACTTGGTGAAGATTAAATGAATTCATTAAAGTGCTTAGCCTGGTACATTTGTGATTCTCCATATATGTTAGCTCATATTTGTATGATTAATATTAAAAGTTAAGAAGTTAGTGAAACAATGGAAATAGTGAAGGAATAGTTCTAGAAATGTATTCCACATCTTCACTTGTTATAGAGAATGGATCACAAACCACTAAGTATTCAGTAAAAGGGAAAATCGGCTACTCAGGGGAAAACCGCTTAATGTAATTGTCACCTCATATTATTGGGGGAAATAAATTTTACCATCAAACTACAGTGTAAAGTGTAAAATAAGCAAACACTACATTGTAAAATAAGCAAACAAAACCATCAAATGTTAGTAGAGACTATAGATGACATTTATCTAATTATAAATGGTTTTGTAAGCATATTATTTTAAGAAACCATAAGAATAAGTTTAAAGGTTAAAATTAGAAAGCAAACCACAAACTAGAGAAAGAAGACTTACAATTCACAAGATTGTATGAAAATTGATAAATGAGAAAGAGTTTTACGTCAAAAGCCATCAAAGAAATTCAAGTAATTAAAAGATTAAAATAATATTTTTACTTAGAATTTAGCAAATAAAACTTTTAAGTGTTCATGAAAATGGAGTGAGATTGTTAGAAATATAGTATAAATTGGCACAAAATTTCTAAGTTGGCAATAGCTTAACCTTAAAAATCATTCTTAACTGGGAATATTATGTACATATGTGTATAGTTAAATGTTACCACTTATTTCTTTAGTTTTAGGATAACCATCTCATTTCCTTATATTTCCAGTTTCTAAGTTACCTATAAAAAATAGGAAAATCAAAATAAACTATTTTTAATAGGAATAAAACAACCAAGGTTTTAAGGATTTCATGCTATTCACTTTGCTTTTATTTTCCTGCATCGCCATCTGGTGTCCAACATGTGGATAGCTTCTGATACCAAAATTATGAGTCTGATACACAGAATTGTATCATTTATTTAATTTAAATAATTCATTTAAATTAAGTTTTGTATAGGATAAATTTGTTACATAAATTATTTATTATACTTATTTAAATAAGTTCACTCATATTTTATAATTAAAATATATATCCATGTTTAAAGCAGGCTAATCTGAATTTGAGTTGTTTTTGCTAGTTTTATACGCAGCGTGAGCCCACCATTTTGCTTTTACATGGAAACAAAGAGAAGACAGATCAGTAAGACAAGTTCTAAGAAATCATTTAGATAATGTTACAATTTTCCAAAAACCAAGAAATTATAAGTTATGTCCATTTTACCCATTAAAGAATGTTTTATAATTAAACAGTGTACAAAGTACCCTACAGCAAGTCTGTCTTTGTAAGGATCTAGACTACATGGATTAGGGGAAGGGGTAAAAATGAAAGGTGAGCTGAGTGGTCAAAGATTAAATGTGCCATTTCTATTTCTCTGCAGTTCCAAGTGTAATAATATCACCTTTGGGGTTATTTTATCTTTAATTCTTAATATTTCTAGAGGAAAACTATTTAAGCCCACTAAGGATTTCAAAGGTAGACTTGGTGCCCTGTGAAAATGTTAGGACACCCCATGAGGGTGCCATTCCTATACAAGGCTGCTTTCGATGAACTTGATGCTTCTTTGACTTAGATTGTGCATCAAGACAGTACCAACATTTCCTTTTTATCCAAGGTGGATTCAATGAACAGCAGAGTTCTCTGTCTCTGAAATATTTTGTGAAATGATTTCTTACTTAGCAGGGCATCTGAGAACAAAAATACTGTCTTTATAAAACTAAGACTTTAAATTACTTCACTTGAGAGGTTAACAATGTATTTTGGCACTAGAAGTATCTTTTAATATGATGTGTGTACTTGACGATATTTAATAGAAATGTTCTTTGGAAGTATTGAAATTTACTGTTCATGGTTATTTCAGAGGCTATTTCAAACATTAAATTAATGTTTGAAGGATACTTGTATCATCCTGTTAGTGACCTTCAATTGAAGGTCACTAAAACTGGTATCGTTTATCAGAATCTTTCTCACTAATCTAGGAGTCCATTCTGGTTTCAGCATACTAATGGTTTTACAAAAATATTTTTTTAATGATAGAGTTGCACTTTTTAAACATTTTTAAATTTAAATTCAGTTTACCAACATATAGTATAAAACCCGGTGCTCATCTCATCAAGTTCCCTCGTCAGTGCGGGTCACCCAGTTACCCCAGCCCCTGCCCATCTCCCCTTCCACTACCCTTTGTTTGTTTCCCAGAGTTAGGAGTCTCTCATGGCTTATCTCCCTCTCTAATTTGTCCCACTCAGTTCCCCTCCTTTCCCTTCTACTCCCTTTCACTATTTCTTATATTCCCCGTATGAGTGAAACCATATGATGATTGTCCTTCTGATAGAGTTGCACTTGAGTTAGCTTCTGCTATGTGCCAGATTCTTTAATAGGTGTTTTACATACATCTTCTTTTTTGGCATTTTAATAGTGTTATATTTATATGTATGAATTTATAAGCTTAACATTATAAAGCTAAAATATAATTTCTATAGTTAGGAATCTATAGCTTGATTTTGATTAGTATTTCACACTGTCTTATGAAACTTCCTACATACATTTATTAAATATTTATAGCGTGCTATTATATATCCAGTACTGAGGTTACAGTGGTGGGCTGGCTATTTTCTATGACTATGTGGGTTTCTGATCCAGGGGAAGAATCTATCAAGATACATACAGAGAGGTAGGAAATTTTAACAGAGTTGTGTTCTGAGAAAAAAAAAAAAAAAAAAAGATACTCCCAAGGATGAGGAGATCTTATAATGGAGTGGTTTGACCTAGTCACGAATGATCATGAAAGCCTTTTGTAAGGAAAAACTATTGAGGAAGAGAAGAAAAGTGTAGGCAGAACAGGTTATATGGAAGGAGGAAATGAAAGAATGAAAGAATTTTTGTTTGCTTGAGTAAGGATACTAAGTTCTGTATGATTTATACCCCAGATGCTCACTTCTTTTTTTTTTTTAAGATTTTATTTATTTATTCATGAGAGACAAGGTAGAGGGAGAAGCAGGCTCCCTGTGGGGAGCCCCATGTAGGACTCAATCCCAGGACCCTGGGATCATGCCCTGAGCCAAAGGCAGATGCTCAACCCTGCTCAACCCAGCCCCCCCCCCCCAGCTGCTCACCTTAGCCCACACGTCTTTCTTCCTCAGCATTCTAGCAGAGATTTTCTCAACAGCTCTTATAAAGGACCTACTTGATTGAATTTTCTGGGATCAGGAAAGGAATCCATGTGATATTGTTTTGGATTTCTAACTCTCGGGTTATTTAAATATACAATTTTTTCTTTAAATAAAAGCATGTTCTTAATAATTGACAAAAGCAGGGATCCTTAAATCTATTTTCACTCACAATATACTATTTCTAAGCTAATACTATATTTTTAAACTTTTGCCCTAAGATTTTTAATACATAAGTGATTTATGTATTAAATATGTGGTTTATAAATGAAAATTTAGGCACATGTTACCAAAGACTGCAGTTTAAGCTTGTGAAAATAAACCTGTTCTTTTTGTCTATTCTAAAAGCAGATGACTGTAAGGTGTCTGTGAAATACACACTTACCTAATTTGGAACTTTTGAAATTTCTCATCCCTTTCCTAAGAGAATAAGATTTGCTATGGGGACTTATACTTTGTAAGCTATTTCTTCCCCTGCATTATTTATGAGTTTTATTATGAGTATGATCATACTATTTCTGTTATACAACACTGGATTTGTATTTAATGAATTGAATTTACATTTAATCAGTTTGTGTTAAAGTGACTTAATGAGATGCTTCATTTTTCTGTGTTAAAAGCAGGTCAAGGCCAACCGAACTCAGGGCAATGCATTATTTAGTGCTCATTTTCTGCATAACTTGTCATTTTATCATGGTTCGCAGTTTAACTAAATCAGTTAATAACATTTCCTGTAACCATTTCTAATAATTCTCTGAGGTCAGACATTTTACTCTTAATGCGTTGGCAAACTTCTTTTTTCCCCCAACTTTCTAACATGAGAGTTCTCACGCACTTTTGTTTTCAAAACGGAATGTGCAGAATCAGATTGTGTCAGATTATCAAAGAATGGAATAAAAGAGGCAGTGGAATTTAGAACTGGAGATACTGCGTTTCTAACATTAGAGTTTATGGAAAGAAAGAAATCTATCGGATAATCTTAGTCATATGTAGGATGTACCTGAAAGTAACGTTAAAGTAAAAAGGAGAAAGAACCCAAATTATTTATCTATGCAGGACATTTCCCTTCTTGTTTTATCTCTACTCTGCAAACTTTCCAGCTCCCCAGTTACTTTATCTTTATTGTGGCTTTTGTCCCCAGTGAACAGCAAGGCAGACAGTAACTGTCACCGGTCAACTCCCGTGGCCGTCTTCGCCCAGCCGCGTCTATACTGCGCTCTTCCTGCTTCTCCGCAGAGCCGAAAGTCGATCCACACTCGGCGGTCACTCCTCCACGCGCAGGCCCTGTCTGTCCTTCCCTCATTTCACAAGACTTTGACATTGCACCTCTTTTCTCTTCCCTGCATCTTTTCCTCCCTTCACGCTTCAGTATCCGTCCCCTCCTGCCCTGGGCCCTTCCCTTGGCTCATCCCGACAGGCACCCCCTTTCCACCCGGGTTTCCCAGCCGGGGTCTGAAGCCCCTCCACCTGCCACCACTTCCACCGCCGTGGAACCTCCCCGATGATGACTGTGCAGCCCGATGAGTTCCCTGGACACTGGGAATTCTGCATCTTTGTACCTGAACTGCGGTTTCTTCCCTGAGACTTTCTTTTCTTCTCTCATCATCCCGAACGGCCTCGTCTCCTGATTTCCTTCCTGCCTCCAAGGGAACTTACTTCTACTAAGTTTTCTTAAGGACTCCTTCGATGACTTTCCTTTTATTTATATGGA